GTGTGTGTGTGTGTGTGTGTGTGTGTGTGTGTGTGTGTGTGTGTGAATCTAACCTTTCGTTTAGCAAATTGACATTTTGCTAACATTTGAAACCGTTAATGGACCAATTAATTTCTGCTTAAATTATTTCTGCTTACTTCAGGTCAGCTAACGACAACAAAAACAACTATCTGCTCACATGCAGTGATTTGATTGTGATGAAACTTACAGCTTTGGAATCTGTGAGATCTCTGCTTTCAGACATACTGGTTTCATGTGAAGAAGCCATGGGGTGAAGAGCTGTGACCAAGAGTTTTTTGTTCACACCACTTTATGCAAATTTGTTTATTGCTGATTCAAACACTTGTGATTTTAACTGTTTGGTGGATGAATAATTGTTTTCTATGAGCTGTCGATCCCACACRGGTCTATGTTTAAATAAAAGATCTTGACTTAGCCGTTATCAGCTAGCTTTAGCTTCTGCTAATTTTCTTACTTGTTTAGAATTTTAGCGTTTAACAAAGCTAACTTTTTGGTTAGCTGTACCCACTGCCTTTCAAGTTGACGTTACAGAACCTTGAAATGAGCTGTCAGAAAATCTTTGAGGGGTCCTTTTAAATCTTCACAACCTTTAGCAAAATGTAGTATACTTGAAGTTCATTTTAATAAGTATACTTGAGTATAAGTTTAAGTATATCAGTATACTAGGCACCATGTACTACTAGAAAGTATACTGATTTAATATTTGTTTGTACTAAATTGGGACTTTTTTTTGCTTATAAAAAGTATACTTTAAGTATAATGTTATATCATTTTAAGTTTATAAACTTACCAAAATGAAGTATAGTTTAAGTACATGTCACTACGTTTACTAAAGTATATAAAAGTGCATTTCCCTAAGTGTACTTTCATTTACCATTATTTACCACTGATATAAGTATACTAGTAGTTTATTAACAGTATACTTCTAGGACTAAATTGGCCCACAATTAGTTTRTGAAAGCATACCTAGAAGTATACTGAAAGTAATCTAAGTATATTTTTAGTTTAATATTGGTGGGAGAAATACATTACAAATAAACCAGTCTGTGTGGAAAATGTACTTTCAGTGTACTACTAAAGTTTATCTTTGCMAAAAGTTTAGMCATTAGTATAGACTAAGTATACTTAAACTTCTACTATACATTTAGTACAAGCCAAGTATAGTGTAAGATAAACTTTGTTAAGTATATCTCAGATAAGTACATAAAATGTAAACTGGAAGTATACTCTTTTATTTTTAGATTAAAAATAGTATACTTAATGGATACTTGCATATACTACTTTTTGCTTAGGGAATGTATATTTTTTAATCACCTGGCATACAATTCATTCAGATACAAAGTGGACCTGCTTTGGCCCAGGAGCCTGGACTTCATCATGTTTGATTTTGATTGAATACTTTTCTCTTTGCCTGCTTCTAGAAAGAGAAGTCAGAAGAAACTTACACTCAGTTCAGACACTGCGATGTCCAACACGCTCCCCACGACGATCAGTGCATCAAAGGAATTCCAGGGATCAATGAAATAGTGCTGCACAGATGAAATAAGCAAACGAGTCAACGACACACAGCGGGGGACATGGGGCAATCAGAACCCTCAGAACGAAGCCTCACATGAGCCCGCAGAGCCATCAGCTTGATAATCATCTCGATGGTGAAAACCACGGTGAAGATCATGTTGAGGATGTCCATGATGGAGGTGAACAGTTTGGACTGTTCGTAATGCTGAGAGAGGCGAAAACACAAAACCTGACGTCTCCTAACCGAGACCGAAGATTTCTGTTGTTTCTGTTTGATCTGAGCAAAGTGTTACCTGAACAGCCAGAGTCAGCGTGTTTCCCAGAATCAGCACAAACATCACATACTCAAACTGGCTGGAGTTGATGATCTTCCAAAATTTCAGCTGTGATGGGTTCTTTGGGATGTAAATCTTGATTGGTTGAGCTTTCAGCGCATAATACACACACTGACGCTGGGGTCGGAGAGTCAACGTTTAAAACAACAGAAAAAACAAACAAACACGGCCTGCCTTTATGGGCACACACATCAGATTTAAAACAATAAATCAAAAATATATCCCAAACAGCCAACCTGATTTTTGTTGAGTTCACAGTTTTTGAACTCAGCCTCTCCTTGCTCTCGGAAAGTGATGATGACGAAACCCACAAATATGTTCATCATGAAGAAAGCAATGATGATGATGTAGATGATGAAGAAGATAGAAATTTCTACTCGGTAGTTGTAAATAGGGCCTCGGTTTATGGCGTTGGCGTCTACGGACCGGTACAGGATCCTATACAAAGTGACAGGAAGAAAACAACAACAAAATGAGGACATAAGGAATTTTGGCCAAACATAAATTTTCATAAGGTTAGCTTGGGCTTCAGATTGAGTGTCAAACCTGTGTTACAGTATGAGAGTAAACTAAATGTTAGAAAATAAATGTTATTCACCTGTGACTATTGTTCTGCTTTTGATATTTTTAGATTTTCATATTAGTGCAGAGGGGAGCGGCCAAAAAAAAAACAATAACTACACTTTTCACTCTTATTTTGTCCATGAGTCCCCACTCAATTAGTAAACAACTGTTTAATTTACAGAGCAAACCACATTTTTATAAACATTACAGTAAACGGCATAAAGATCAGAAAGTCTGAGTTGAACTAAACTAAAAACTGTAATGCTTTCCTTGTACTTTGGATGAAATTGTTGTAATAAATAAATACTCACAGTGGCCAGCCTTCAAATGTGGATACAGTGAACAAAGCCAACATGCCCATCAACACATTGTCAAAGTTAAAATCACTGTTTTCCCAAACTCGCTCTTTAACCATGGGATGGTTCATGTCTCCGTTTTTGTAGACCACAAACGTTCCCCTGAAATCAGACAATCGCTCATCTTTAATTAAACTGTTAAACAGGTGGCAAATTTGTTTTGGTGCAAAGAAAGAAAACTTACTTGCACTCTTCTGGTGTGTGTTTGGCTTCATCGGTGCAGCTGTAAAATCTCCCCTAAAACATCCAAAACAGAGTGAAACTCTCAACTTGGCTTTTATTAAAAAAATTAACAGGCTTATGAAAATCGGAAGATGTGACATTACCTTAAAAAGCTGCACTCCGATGCAGGCAAACATGAACTGAAGGAGTGTTGTGACAATCAAGATGTTGCCGATGGTGCGGATCGCCACAAAAACACACTGCACCACATTCTGTGAGGAAACACACAAGTGTTTTATAAAAACAGAACTCATAAGCTGCTATAAAACCTACACTTTCAAGGTGTTTTGATGCTGTCCAGTGGTGGGCAGCGCTAATTCAAAATTCTAAAGTGCTTGTCAATTTATTTAGGTCCGCAAGTTCAAAAGCACATAYGCTCAGTAAAACTTAGCAGAAGCTAAACATAAAGCGCAAGTTTTTCTTYGTTTACCAGAAAACGCTCCAGTATAACCATGAAACATGTCAGCACTTTACTGCCAGCTAGTGAAACAATTTCCTTTCACAGATTGACACATGTCATCGCGGTTCGGGGAGGTGATTTGTCRAAACACACTTTTAACTCGTGGTGTTAAAAAAATCTATGGAAGCTGAAATATTATTTGYGATTRGCGCTACTCAATTCTAAATTTAGAAAGTGCAAATCYGYACATYATTTGAAGAAATTAGYAAAACCCCTAAAGTACAAAGGAGAAATTTAGGTCCGCAAYTAGCGCATTTGCGCTTCAGGGAACTAGTGCCCATTGATGCTGTCAATAAATTATCAAACACCTTCCCTTTGATGAAAAAGATGWCTTCTAGTTGTTCTGAACTTATTTAAATTTACTAGACCGTTCCACCAAGTTACCCTTTTTGTGTCATTTACCACTACACTGTCTCAGGTTAAAACTGTCACTTTTCTCTTCAGTTCAGCGAACACAACACTCATGGTTTCCAAGAAAAATTTGAAGTTTCTGATTGGACCAYGCCAGAGTTTTTCACTTTCCCTCAGTCTCTTTGACACAAATCATCATCCCTCCACCACTGTGCCTGACAGCTTGTATAAGATGTTTGTGCGTATATGCTGKGTTTGGTTTTCTCTGAATATTAAGTACAGCTTTATGGCCACATATCTCCACTTTAGTGCCATACATTGTTCCAAATGTCTCGTGGTTTGTTCAGATGCAACTTTGCMAACTTGAGTTGTACTGCCATTTTAAAGAGAAGAGACTTTCTCCTGGCAGCTTTTTCTAAGTGTCCTGTCAGGGACTTGATGTATCAGACTRACCTCACAAGATTAAAAATCTGAAATATATTCTGCTTGTTAATAAACTTTTCCTCTAAAGAATAATGAATTTCAGTTTAGTTTTTATCAAATAAGTTTCAAAACAACAGAATGAGCCAAATGCTGTTGTTCAGCTGAGGTTGTTTTACCTACAGTATTTTGTGCAGTGTGTGTGGATGTGCACTGTAGGTGTATTAGAAAAAGCACTGTCATTTGTAAGAGACTATATAGACTGAGATGTGCATGCATGATTGTACATATGGATGGATAAATGTGGCTTGTAGAGTTAAAACACATTTAATGACTTCAGGTCTGTATGAATACAAGGGGTGCACCAAAAATAGATTCACATCAGAATCTTGATTCTTATTTACAACARTTCAGAGTCAATTATTATTATTTTTATTTTTTTAACAAAGCAAATCCAATGGTTGTCAGTCTTTATTTTGTAACTACGTGGGACGTCCTGATGTCACCATGCAGCTGGTTCTAGAGCGTATGAACGTGCAGAAAGCACTAAAACAAAGAGGAAACTACAGAAATGGAGGAAAGAGAGATTCAACCAGCCAGTCTTTGTTGAAGGCAAAGATTTGGGCTCATTTTGGTTTTTACTGAATGAGTTTTTACAGTTTTTTCATTGAGCTTCACTGTGTGAAAGGTTTGAAATGAAGATGAAGCACTTTGGTAAAACAACAAATGGGCTCACAWGATCAGTTTTGAATGAAAAATMGRTTTTGAATCGAATCGTGGCCCAAAAARTCWGATCAAATCACGAGATRGTACAAGATTCCCACCCCTACACTTGAAAATATTAGCATTTAAAACAAGCCTTGCTCAGAATCCTATGTTTTTTTTTTTTCCTTATGTCATGATAAATGAAATCTTGAAAAAGTGTGTACAGACTTTCACCATTACTGGGGAGTTTGTTCCACAACTGTTTTAAACACAGCTCTTGCATGATTTGTTATCTCAGAGTATGTGTTAGGGATGACTCCCAACTCACACCACACCTAATTCTAGCTCAGTAYCTATAAAACTGAACAGGTTTCATGGTRGTGGGTAATAAAAAAAAYGGTACGTGAGATGGAGCAGAGCGGTTTACCTTCAACCCTTTGGCTCTGTTGATGGCTCGAAGAGGCCTGAGCACTCGAAGAACTCGAAGAATCTTCACCACAGAGATCGCACTTGAACTGAAATCAGCAAAACACGATTGAAAATTCAACTGAGTCAATAAAGAAAACAAGATAAAAGACATCTAAAGACATGTTGAGCATCTCTGACTTGAGCAGTTTTGTTTCTTCTCCAACAGACAAAACATTTTTCAACAAAAAAGAACTCATCCAGAGAACCTACTCAACGTTTTTCAGATTTTTCTACCTGGATTATTGAGATGCATCAGGATTAGATAAAATACACTTATAATATCAAATATAAAACTGTACCAAGACAATCTTATATTTTGTTGCTAATAATGCTTCTGTTATACGTACTGTAGAAAGAAAGAAGTGAGGGAAACACTGACGACCAGCAGGTCGAGGAGGTTGAAGGCATTTCTACAGAAAGAACCGGTGTGCAGGAAAGCTCCGTACACGGTCATCTACATGAGGAGGAAGGAGTGACGAAAGAAAATGAAACGAGTTTTGAACAGTTTCCACACCGACTCGTCAGGCTGATGTTGTCAGGTTCAGATGYTACCTTTAGGACGATCTCCACGGTGAAAACCGAAGTGAAAACATAATCGGCGTATCCGAGCACCTGAGGGTGACAGAAGTTAATTCAGCTTTCAGTTCGCCTAGTCCTGAGGATTACGACTCGGATAACGTGACAGAGCCTTACAATGTTCCTGAAGGAGTGGGATTTGATGGGATCCTCAGCAGCCAGTGAAATACTACTGAGGATGATGAAGATAAGGATGAAGTTGGTGAAGTAGGGGTGGTGGATGAGGTTGTGGCAGGCGACTCGTAAACTGAAGGATGAATTGAAATGAGAGGGAAATGACACGTGTGTCCTGGGTTGATGTGAAATGTGCCTCATCTTTGAAAATACCAGTTTTTCTTTCCAAGGATGAAGAAGGAGCTTCCGTCAGGTATCGGCACAATCTTTTCTTTAGGTCCGGAGAACTCCGGCTTTAACGGAGCAACTCCTGCACACAAGATGGAGTGGGTTTTAWGTCTCAGTCAGTTTGGCTAATGTTTCTTTAGACAGATCACACTCACCCTCCAGTCCCTCGATGGCTCTCAGCTCCTCGTTCTCCTGCCAGTCATCCTCTTCGTTCTAAAGAAAACAAAAATGCAAAATAAAAAAACACCTGCTCTGTCTGACCTAATCTGACCTAAATAAATACAAAATATCTTGAAGTAAGAGCTGTTCTACCCCTTCGTCTTCATTTTCTTTTTCTTCGTCCTCATCCCACTCTTCTTCTTCCTCCTTTTTCTCTCTAAAAGAATATCCCATTAAATGAAATATCAGCAGCAAGAAAACGAAAGGATCAGAGACAGAAACGTATCGGATCTCGTTGCTCACTACGACTTACTCAACTTTCTTCTTCCCGCCGCCTCCTGCCAAGTTGTCCACAGCGATAGCCAAGAAGACGTTGAGCAGGATGTCTGGTCCCAAAATTAAGGAGTCAGATTTCTTTCTGTTGGGATCATTTCATAAAGTTCAGACTGTGCTGAGATTAGAAATACAGTACAAATGATTTTTGCCTCTCCTGGTACTCTTTCTATTTTGGTGCCTTTTTCTTTTGTTGAAAAGTGTGAGTGCAGCAATGTGCAAAGGTTATCCCCAAAGGTTATCAGATGGATCAGATGGATAGTTCGCCCCATGCTATGCTATGCTGCTTTAGTGTGGTGGGTTTGAGTCCAAGTTGGGGTGGCAAAAGTGATGCTCACAGCATCAACAGCACAGGTTCCATCCGAACAACACCCACGGCAGCCTTTGAAGTCCTACTGGACTCCACTAGACTTTTGCTCCAACCATCTTTTCTTTAACTCTGTCTAGTCTCCCAGTCCCTGCTGTGTAAAACCATCTCCTCAGCATGATAATGCCACCACCGTGTTTCACTGTGGGAATGATGTTCTTGACATAATGTGGGGGGTCATAGGTTTGTGCCAGACATGGTGCTCTCTTTGATGGCCTTCGAGCTCATCTGACCATGTTTGGAGAGAAAAAAAAATCCAAACAACTGTTTTTTTTTTTGCCTTTCTTTCAGCAATGCCTTTTTTTCTGGCCACTCTTCCATGAGGTCCAGCTCTATGCAGTGTCTGAAAAGGATACAGTTACCACAGACGAAGAGGATGACAAAGTAAATGCACACCACCATGTTGGGGAAGACTGGCCCTCCATAGGCCATGATGCCGTCGTACATCACAGCGTTCCAGTCCTCTCCAGTAAGGATCTGCGGCAAACAATAAAACAAGGCAGAAGCAACCAATCATAAGGAAGGACATCTTATTATAAACAGGTTAATGAGTTCTCAAGAGAGATGTTTCACCTGAAAACATGTTAGCAGAGCCTGAGGGAACGAGTCGAATGTGCTTCTCTTCATCTGAGTGTCATCAAAGTTGAATTTCCCTCCAAACAGCTGCATGCCCAGCAAAGCGAAGATGATGAGAAAGAGGAAGAGCAGGAGCAGAAGGGAGCAGATGGCTTTCATGGAGTTGAGCAGYGAGGTGACCAGATCAGAGAGGGCGGCCCAGTGTCTGGAAACCATCAGGAGGTGTGACTATACATCAGGACATGATCTAAACGAGGGAGYTCTCCTCCTGAGTTCCTTTAGGGGCTCCGCTTCCACTCACCGAGTCATCTTRAATATCCGGAGCAGTCGGATGCAGCGCAGCACAGAGATGCCRATGGGCGGGATGACGTCCATCTCCACAAGCAGCGTCTCCAGAATGCCGCCGCACACCACAAAGCAGTCAAAACGGTTGAACAGAGCCATGAAATAGATCTGAGGACCAAAGGCGTACATCTTCATCGACATCTCCAGAGTGAAGAGCAGCAGCAGGACTTTATTGGCTCGCTCTGATGGGGCAGAGAAGACACRCAAGTGATTCTTCACGAGTCAATAAATAATACGGATYGAGACCAAGAAAAGCAAGGTGGTTCATTTATCACCTTGCATCTCTGTGAGCCACTTGGGCTGGCCGTAGTGCTCTGAGGCACTGGCCACAGTGTTGAGAAACACCAGCAGCAGCACCAACCAGTAAAAGTTAGTGGTCTTCACTGCAACTCGACAGTTCTTTCTAAAAGTATGGTTGAGCTGGCACAGCTGGTCACTAAAAGGAACAAAGAAGACAGAGTTAAATGTTAAACTGTATCTAGAGGAGAAAGTTGTAGCAGTTTGTAGACAAGATTTATTTAGTGTAAAAAGTGCCTGAGCATGAGAACTTGGCTTCTCTATGTTTGTTTTTAGGACATTTGACCAAAAGTACCAACYGTTACTAACCATTCACTGGTATAAGAGAAGATTTCTTTGTTTTGTTCTTCTATGACAAAATAAATGCACTATTTCCTTGCTCATCAGAACTGGTAACATTGCTACTAAACAGATGTTAAAGCAATAAAACAGAAACTGTAATCAACCACTTGTTTTAATGCTTGCTCATACTTCGAGTCGCGTGTCTTGTTCCCCCTGCTGAGTGACAATAAATTGCGTAACTTGCGTCTGCTCTCCTGCTGCTATCCCCCCTGTGACAGCCATCGTTCACATCGCCCCCGGTCAGAACTCTGCGACGCGGACCTTGCGGCTCGGAGCGTGTGATTGGTTAGAAATTGGTGGGTGTGTTTGTTCAAGAGGAGCAATGCAGCAGTCCAGCAGCTCTGAGGAGCAGGACCAGAGCAGAACTTCGAGCAGCTCTTAGTTCTGGAGGTTGTATTGTTTAAAAGTTTTTTTTTTTGTCTGAAGCCTCTGGTTAAAAGAGTTAGAAGAGCAGCTGGTTTGATCCTATTGAACATGAGCATGCAGCTGATATTCACATCTTTTTTCCATCACCATTTTTAAAAAAAGGTTTTTCCTTCGCGGACTCTTGACCCAACACAATCATTGAGTGAAAAAAAAACATTATCCAGCCATCACTATTGTAAAATTTTGAGTTGTGGGATGGCAGAGAGAGGAATTATGATAATTTATAACCGGCAGTGTTTTCAGCCTGTTTRAACTCGGTCAGGAAAATGTGTCGGAAATGAAGCAATCACCAACCCGCTGTCTCTCGTCGTGTTGAAGTATAACTCAAGCTTTAAGGTTGTTTTTCTCTTTTTTTACAGTTTTCAGTAGAAAAATGTTAAAAGGCTAAAAAAATGTATTTTGCTGCAATGGTCAACACCTCAGGCCCCTACAGAYGTGTGTTTGTTGCAGATCTATGCTTTCAGCTTGTTTTAGAAGCTGACTTATGACTGTAATCACAAATTGGACACTTCTTAAAAGATTTCGAAACTATTACAGTCCTTCCAGCCCAAATCATGAATCATATAGTGTACGTGTAGTAGGGCTCACTGTTTTGTTTGCAGTGGGATTTAGTTTGTTCTTTATGTTCTGTTGCATGCTTTTATTCTTCTTTTGTGTTTTTAAAAATGCAAAATTCGATAAAAAGATATTTTTGAAGGTAAAGTTTTGAGTTTGCTTTCTGTCCAGTTTTAACTTTACCAGGGGTGTCTCTAACTCATTTTAATGAATCATTTTTTGTTGTCATCAATATAAAAACAAACAGCTCAAACACAAGAGAATTTAATAYGTTTGATGTCTCAAATGCTAAATTAATATGGATGAAACACAAACATGAGATTTTTTGATTTAAACCATAATAACAAWCTAATTTTAATTAATAATAAATAAAACTACATATTTTACAGTTCGATGAAAAGTCTCACCAGAAGCTATTGGCCATCATCTTTGCCCTGGAAAAAAAAATACAAAGAACAAAAAAATTAATAAATTTAAAGTTATTAAAAGTAATAAACCTCATGGCGATAATTAATTTAAACAGAACCGTCTTTTCTGTTATCTTACATGAGAGAAGCACAGAAGCCGTTGTCRTCATCAAGGTATGCAATATCATCATCAGAATCAGACTCTGTTGAACACAGATGAATACTGGCTGTAAGAGCAGATCAAACACAGCAACCATCACACTAATGTCTGCTGCCGTACCTCCACCATCCTCACTGTGTTTGTACCAGCCAAACTTCTTCATCATCTTTTTCTTTGCGATTGCAGCTCCTTTAAAAAAGCACAGATGCAGGTTCAATCATACTGCGAGGGAGCATCTGTTTTTGTGTATTTCAGTGGGAATGTGTATTTAACCAACGTTTGTTTCCTTCTTCGTCCACATCCTCAGCCTCTATGAGCCAGTCCATGTAGCCGATCATGTCCTCCTCCATCTGTTTGCTCTCCTGCGCCTTCTGCAGCTCGCCACGCGCCACGGCCTTCTCTCTTTCCTTAGAGAACTCTCTGTAAACATGAACACATGCAGCAGTGTAAACATATGTCTGAAGATTTGTTTTGTAAAGCAAAAAACAAAACAAAAAAAAAAAACCATGGAAGTCTGCAGTGCGGTGCCTACCCACCCGCTCAACACACCCAATACAAGGTTGATGATGAAAAATGAGCCGAAAATGACTAAAGAAACAAAGTAAATCCACGGTATGTCGTAGCCAATGGCATCGTTCATCTGTGTAGAGAAACAGAGAGAGAAAGCACATGTGAGCATTCTTAATGAGCCAATAAAGTTAATGAAATGAAATTTCAACTGGTGGAGGACACAGCTGACCACAGCATCCTGATCTCCTGGATGGGGCAAAGTGGTATCAAAGGCTCTGCACTAGAATGGTTCAGGTCTTATCTGTCTGACAGGAGTTTCTCTGTAAGCCTCCTACTCAGACCCCATTATGTGGAGTTCCCCCAAGACCAGTTCTCAGTCCCAAACACAATGCTCTTTAGGTGGGAGCAAAGCCGATTTTGGGTGGGGGGTTTTGGACCAAGGTGTGAATTGAGCAGTGGTGGCTGGTCAATAGGGGGCGCTAGGGCACCTCCACACCACTATTTTTGGTACACAAAAAAATTAAAATAACAAAATAAAATGGTATAAATGTTTTGAAAAAAATATTGTATATATGTTTTCTGATAAGTAAAACAAATTATTCAGAGTTATTGATGTGTAAACTTCCATTTTACTCATGAGCTTTTTCGTGTTGAGTCACTTCCGGGTCACGAGCTGTTCGGCGCTCCAGAGTCCCATAGACAAGTCATTGTAAGATTTTGGACATGAGCAGTAAGTCCCCAATGCAAAAGAATAAGGTGGCCTGGGGTGCAGCATGCGGCTGCCCCGCAACTGACCTCAGACAACCGGTAGTGGGTTACAGTACGTAACCGAGGTTTTTCAAGCATCAGGATCTGATCCAGCATGGATTAAAAC